CGTACAGCCATTTTTCAAAATGCTTATCATAACTGATTTTGCGTCCTTTTAATAACACAGTAATTAAGTCTCACTCATCCTAGTTGCTGTATAAAACACTGGACGGTACTGTGGTTGTTTGACAAAGAGAAGTGTGACTGGATAGGTATCTGCAAGAGGGATTTGCTCACCGCCGTATCAGACTAGTGTCCTCGGAAAACGAGCGCAATAAACCATTATATACATGTATGCATTAATATATATTATTTTGAGACATTTTTATTGTTATAAGTTTTTTTTATACAAATATTTAAGCAAATGTTCTGTTTTATAATATATATATGTATAGGATAGAGGTTCCATTCCTGTCGGAGGACGCATATTTTCTATGAATATTTCTCGGACATTTAGGCCGGTAAATCTTGTTAATAGAAATTTTTGCCGAATAAAAATTAGAGTGTAATGCATAAATATTATACAAACTTACAAAAATTTGCATAATAGTTTTTTTTTGTTTAGATAAATATTAAATGGAACAAAGGAAATAAGCTACTGGACAAAAGTTAAGGAACGATGTTAATAATTTGCATAAACTTTTAATTTACATTGTTAAAAAACTCGATGGAGCTTTTCAACAATAAGTAAAATTTCATTTATCATTAGACTTTATTTTTAAGCAATATGGCAAATACTACACGAAAAATGCTCTCTTTTGAAGAAAAAAAAACTCATTATCGCTAACTATTAACAAAAAAGTCAATTTCCAAAATTTCTGATATTGTTCCTTGGTCTAAAAGTGTCGTTCATAGTGTTAGCAGGTATAAAAGCGATAAAACGTTTGATGCAAAACCAAAAACCGGTTGACCTCCAAAATCAACGCAAAGAGAAGATCGAAGAATTGTTAGAATATCTACAAAAAAAAAAGTTTTGAAACTGCTACATCAATTGCCCGTAAAGAGGAAGAGACAGATAATAAGATCTCAAGGAAAACGGTTGCTCGCAGGTAAAGAAATGCGGGATTACAAGCCTGTATTCCGGCTTCAAAGCCTCTCATTTCAAAGCGAAACCAAAGGGCACGCCTGGAGTATGCGAGAGAACATGTTGTTTGGACTGACGCACAATGGGATACAGTTAATTTCAGTGACAACTCCAAGTTTACTATATTTGGTTCTGAGGGCAAAACTTATGTACACCGTAGAACAGGTGAAAGACTGTCTTCTCAATGTGTCAAGAAAACCGTTTGGTAGCGGCAGTGTGATGGTGTGGGGAATGATTTCATCTGCAGGAGTTGGCCCTATTATCCGCGTACATGGCAATATCAATGCTGAGATTTACAAAAGCCTTCTTCAGCAGCATATGGTACCAAGATTACACCATAATCTTTATGAATCTTCTATTTTCATACAGGACAATGCACCTTGCTACAAGGCTCAGAAGGTTATAGCATTATTTGGAGAAGAAGGAATCGCCCTAATCAAGTGTCCAGCTCAGAGACCCGACTTGAATCCAATTGAAAATGTTTGGAAGATAATTGAAGAAGGGCCCAGAAAAGAAACACGAAAAACCAGGATATCTTATGGGAGTTATTGAAAAACGAATAGGATGGAATTACTGCTTATTTTTGCAAGAAATTAAATAGATCATGTCGTCGACGATGCAGAGAAGTCATTTAAAATAAGGGGATGTTTGCTAAATAGTAAATTTTGTTAGTATTTTGTTCCCAATCAAGTATTAACAAGATCGTTCCTTAACTTTTGTCCAGTAGCTTATTTCCTTTGTTCTATTTAATCTTTATCTAAAAAAAAAACTATTATGTAAATTTTCGTAACTTTGTATAATATTTATGCATTACACGCTAATCATTATTCGGTAAAAATTTCATTGCTAAATATGTATTACTTTTTTTAATACACATATTTATATCTTTGTTGTTTCCGTTCCTTAAATTATAGCCCTACTATATATATATATATATATATATATATATATATATATATATATATATATATATATATATATGAATAAGTGTTGCCTTCTTAAAAGCAAAAGAATACCACGCTTATTAAAACAGAAAATAACTAACTTAACCGGAAGGTTCTTGAGGGAGTTGCTGTCGCGTGTTGCCAAAATGTTAACTTTCGCCCTTGGGGTTTTCAAATACCTTTTTTCAAAAATAAAGAAAAACAACAAAAAAAAAAAAACAGACCTTTCCCAATATCACAAATGACCATAAAACATTTTAAAAATTACAAAGAATCGGCTAAATCAAAACCTTCTATAATTTAATATAAATAATTAAATAAATAATTTATAAAATTAAAAAAAAAAAATATTAATTGCATTAATGTTTAAAAAAAATATTAAATATAACCAGTAGAAAATGAAAAAAAAAACAACAATAAAAATACTTTCGCACATTTGTTTGTTAAGCAATAAATTGTGGCACTTAGCATCTTTCATAGCTTAGTTTGACATTCATATTAGACTCAAAAAAAATTTTGAGCGTTCTTAAATCTTAAAACTTAAACATATTTCTGTTTATAAACAAATATGGCATTTGCCAAGATAAAACTAAACGTACTTCCCCTTTTGGAGAAGTTTCAGGGGCCAGGCCGTAAACCCAGTGCCCACTCGATGGGTACGTGTAGCCGGTTACGGTACCCAGGCTATTCGGCTTCGGATAATTTTAAAAATCCCATATTGGAAAACAATAATTCAATAAATATATTAAGAAGGAGTTTCAGAATCTGTGAAACATTTGCCCAAACAATAAACTGTACAAAAATAAACCGACTATAGGAGAATGTCATTAGAAACACGAAACTAGAAGAGAAGTGATTCTGTCCAGGCTTCATATTGGACATATTACCATAACACTTTCGTATATCATAAAAAAGACAGACCTTGAAATGTGTGTGCCATGCCAAGATCCATTCGCCATAAAATTTCTATACCTCCTTTTAATATTAAAAAAAGTAATAAATATAAATAACTAAGAAATTGAAAGAAAATCAACAATAGCAATATTTACGCACATTTGTTTATTAAGCATTAAATTTTGTCACTTAGTATCTCTCATAGCTTTCTTTAACTTCCATATTTCGACGTAAGAATATTTTGAGTGTTCTAAAATATAAAAACTTTGAAAACCTAGAACAATTCTGTTTAAAATCACATGTAGCATTTGTCAAGACAAAGATTAATGACGTTTTTTGTCTTTATTTCTATTGAGGTATTACAGGTATACAAAAGGTCTTCGGGTTACGTCGGACCCAACGGGCGGTGTTTCGTGGTTACGGCACTATCGCCCATAATATAATATGTCATCATGCGGCCACATATGAGAAAGACGGCGTTGTTTCTTCAGCGGCTGTACACCATATTTGACCGCACTACATTCGCTATCTCTTTGTGTCAGTTTTTTTTTTGGGGGGGGACATTTTGTGGTGCATTATGGCTCCCAAACGTAAGGCAGACTTGTGGATGCGTATGTAGATGAATTCCGGCCGAGGTCGAATATCAAGTTACGTCGTGCCGTAGAAACGAATCTCCGACGAAGAGCCCTTATAATTTATTTATATCTCAATTTTTACATCAGTGTAACCCGGATATAAGAGACCCGGATATAAGAGAACCAGATATAATAGAAACCCGGATATAAGAGAGATTTTCTCTGGTCCCAAATTAGAGCAAAGAATGTCACTGTTTTTCGCTTCAGCTATTCCGTTCTGTCTCTGAAATATCCGTGTTCTTATATCAGAGATATATTAATGCCCATAAGAGGGGAAAAACAATGGGGAGGGAATATATCGCTCTTCCAATCCGTCCTGTTATATATACATGTACACACACACACAACAACACACACACACACACATATATATATATATATATATATATATATATATATATAGATATATATATATACTAGCGGTAGAGCCCGGCGTTTCCCGGGGATGTAACAGTAAGAGATAGATCAAGTATCGACCATCATAAAGACTGAAAAATAAAATTGACAAAGATTATCGTTTAAGGTTGACGGACACGCATGCCTTAATTAGTTTTTTTTTTTTTTTGGTTTCTTTTTGGTGTTTTCTTTTTACGAATGGTCAAACCCAAACTCAAACAAAAGCATTGTTTTCAATCGTTATGAGTCTACTAATTGAATAGAATTTTATTATAAACAATTGTCCTGTAAATGGAATTTTTAAACATTCTGAATGTAAAAATAAAGAAAAAAGTGTGCAAGACAATAAGAAACACTACCTGCCAAAAAAAAAGTGAAGTTTTGTTGAAATCAGTTGAAAAATGTAGGAAATCCGATCCCATATATAAATGAACACAGACACACATACAAACAACCTGGGTTTTATAATAAGTATAACTTGATATGAGTTGTCCCCCTTTCATTCTCGACAGCGATGCCTCTTAATCGTGTTTTCAAATTGATTTTTTGCAAAAACAATTGTGTTTTTCCAATTTTTGACGCTGTCAGACCCACCGTAAGCTAATTTTACTTAGTCCTGTGAAGTTTTGTTGAAATCGGTTGAAAAATGTAGGAAATCCGATCCAATATATAAACGAAGCAGACACACTCACACACAACCTGGGTTTTATAATAAGTATGATAAATAAACACACACACACACACACACACACACACACACACACACACACACATATATATATATATATATATATATATATATATATACGTTGGGCTTTTTCCCCAACAATAAAGGAAAGTTACAGGCAGAAGAAATTCTATAGAAAGATACTGAAAATTTCCCACAAGGAGATAGCAACAAGGAATGGCAACAGAAGGAACATTTTTACCCCATAACAGGAAATACTGCTGAATTCCTTCGGCACATAACGAGGAAGGATTATTTGAAAAATATGAAGCTCACCGCAAGTGAGATAGGAAAATGCAGCGAACCATTTAAATGACAAGCCTGTATATACGGATAGCGAAGCGGAGGCGGGAGCCTCAGGAAAGGGAGAAAAAAAAAACTGCTGACTTATATAGATACATAGATAGATAGATATTAACAGACTGAGATAGATGAATAGATAGATATGAACATACTCAGATAGATAGATATTATGAGACTGAGATACATAGATAAATACGTTGATATAAACGGCCTCAGATAGATAGATAGATAGATAGATAGATAGATAGATAGATAGATAGATAGATATTACCAGACAGGGATAGATAGATGAATAGATAGATATAAAATTACCCAGATAGATAGATAGATAGATAGATAGATAGATAGATAGATAGATATTAACAAACTGAGCTAGTTAGATGAATTGATAGATATGAACATACTCAGATAATTAGATAAATAGATTGATATAAACAGACTCAGATAGACAGATATGATCAGACTGAGCTAGTTAAATGAATAGATAGATATTAACATACTCAGATATATAGATATTATCAGACTGCGATACATAGATAAATAGATTGATATAAACAGCCTCAGATAGATAGATAGATAGATAGATAGATAGATAGATATTAACAGACTGAGATAGATGAATAGATAGATATGAACATACTCAGATACATATTATCAGATTGAGATACATAGATTGATATAACAGACTTAGATTGATAGATAGATACATATATATATATATATATATATATATATATATATATATAGAGAGAGAGAGAGAGAGATAGATAGATAGATAGATAGATAGATATTAACAGACTGAGACAGATAGATGAATAGATAGATATAAAAATAACCAGATAGATAGATAGATAGATAGATAGATAGATAGATACATAGATAGATATTAACAAACTGAGCTAGTTAGATGAATGGATAGATATGAACGTACTCAGATAGATAGATATTATCAGACTGAGATACATAGATAAATAGATTGAGATAAACAGCCTCAGATAGATAGATAGATAGATAGATAGATAGATAGATAGATAGATAGATATAAACATAACCAGATAGATAGATAGATAGATAGATAGATAGATAGATAGATAGATATTAACAAACTGAGCTAGATAGATGAATGGATAGAATATAGAACGTATCAGATAGATAGATGAATATCAGACTGAGATACATATAGATAAATCAGATTGATAGATAAACCGGGTCAGATAGATAGATAGATAGATAGATAGATAGATAGATAATAAACCGAGTCAGATAGATAGATAAACCGGGTCAGATAGATAGATAGATAGATAGATAGATGAATAATGATAGATAGATAGATAGATAAACCGAGTCAGATAGATAGATAAACCGGGTCAGATAGATAGATAGATAGATAGATAGATAGATAGATAGATAAACCGAGTCAGATAGATAGATAAACCGGGTCAGATAGATAGATAGATAGATAGATAGATAGATAGATAGATAGATAGATAGATAGATAAACCGAGTCAGATAGATAGATAAACCGGGTCAGATAGATAGATAGATAGATAGATAGATAGATAGATAGATAGATAGATAGAAAACCGGGTCAGATAGATAGATAAATAGGTCAGATAGATAGATAGATAGATAGATAGATAGATAGATAGATAGATAAACCGATAGATAGATAGATAATAGATAAACCGATAGTCAGATAGATAGATAAAACCGGGTCAGATAGATAGATAACCGATAGATAGATAGATAGATAGATAGATAGATAGATAAATAGATCAGATAGATAGATAAACCGGGTCAGATAGATAGATAAACCGGGTCAGATAGATAGATAGATAGATAGATAGATAAACCGATAGATAGATATTAAACCGGGTCAGATAGATAGTTAGATGAATGGATAGATAGATATGAACGTACTCAGATAGATAGATATTAAACAGACTGAGATACATAGATAAATAGATTGATAGATAAATAGATAAACCGAGTCAGATAGATAGATTAATGAGATAGATAGATAGATAGATAGATAGATAGATAGAAACAGATGGGATAGATGGATAGATATAATCAACCTGAGATAGATAGATAGATAGATAGATAGAAACTAGATTAGATGAATGGATAGATCAGATAATAAAGATATAGATAGATAGATATAGATAAATAGATAAATAGATATAGATAGATAGATAGATAGATAGAAACAGACTGGGATAGATGGATAGATATAATCAGGCTGAGATAGATAGATAGATAGATAGATAGATAGATAGATAGATAGATAGATCAGATAATACTCAGATAATAAAGATAGATAGATAGATAGATAGATAGATAGATAGATAGATAGATATGAATACATCGAGAAGGTTATTTAACTATTTCTATACGCCTTCGGATTTCCTTTTCCGCCATTTCATTGTTGTTTCTATCACTACCCACATATTTACATCCCACACCTGCTTTGATTTTAATTCCTGCTTTCTTTGTTGCTTCCGACCACGTATTCTGTCTTTCTTTTAATTCCGAAACGTGTATTCTTTCTTTGGTGGATTACTGTGCCATAATTCTTACATTCTTCTTGCTACATCTGGCATCAACATGGTATCGACAGTATATATATGGCGTCATTTGTTTACATTTGATACGCCATGAGCAGTTATGAATGTACGAGATTCATGGAAGATTGAAGTTTATAAGCAGTAAATCCAACCTTGCCAACCTGTGGCCGAGCGGTCAAGGCACGTCAGCGTAAATGACGGTTCCGTATAGGATGCAGGTTCGAATCTTGTCAAAGGACGAATATTTTCTATGAAAGTTTCTCGGGCATTCAGGCCGGTAAATGTTATTTAATACTGTTTATTATAAACAGAGCATTTACTTAAATACTTGTATCTATAAAAAGAACGTTAAACATAAAAAAAATGTCTTTAATAAATAAATTGTTGGACTTTGTCCATTTCTTAATATATATATATATATATATATATATATAATATTATGTAGATCATCCAGTTTTGTACAAAGGATGAAAGTCTCAATACAACAGATCTAATCGACTTTCAGGGACTTCTCCAAAATTTCTAGCGCACATAATGAGGAAAGAGGACTTGGAAAATTTGATACTCATATGACGTATTCGAGGTTTGTTATTCCATGAGAATCATATATGCCGTTAAACAAACAAATCAATTTCTCTCCAGAAAATAATATTTTTCTTTCTTGCGAAACGTTTTCCACAGGCACACTTTTATTGTTACTTTAAGAAATAATCAAATTTCATCCTGTTATGAATTTGCTTTCTTTCTGTGTATGTCTTATTTCTGCTATATACACGCATGATTGGTCGCAGCGCCAAATGTCACCTCTTATAATCCCTGGCACCAAATACCAAGTAAATTGTAGCATTTTGCAGGTGTGTTTGTTTTTTGACTGTTCAGTATTTTCAACTGTTGTTGGTCTCTAGATGCACTTGTCTTCCATCTTGTCATTGTATACCTGCTAGGATGTGATTATTAAAGAATTCTTCTGTTCATTCCAGCAGGCTGTAGTCCTGTTGATCTGGAAAATTTCTCGCAAGGCAAAACTATTTTAGTTGTAAAGAATCGTGGTTAAATACTAATGCAATTGCCAATTTGAAAACGTCCAACAATTTAATCCCATAGACTTGTCAAAGGTTACAATCCCTCTTGGTTGACCATCTACTAAGATCAACAAAGGGGTTAACAGCAAGGTTAGGCGTTTGTGTGTTGTAGTTTCTTTCAGCTTCAGGAGAGACACAACAAACAATTCTTGGGAACAAATTAACTTTATAGATACTTGCCCAGAGAAATAATATTGATGGATAATATCTTCAAGCAAAGAACTTCCAACAACGTCAAACCTTCTTGCCTGTAAAAAAGTGATGTATGAAAAGGACAGTTTTCCCTTGACACTGCAATTATCTTTTTAACTACCTTCACTAATCGGCAGTTTTTCTTGTTTGAAAAAGTGATGGTTAGAATTTAAAAATAACCCAAACGTATGAAAGTGAATTTATTCATTTTCTTTGTTGGTGAGAATTGAAAAAAATAATAAACACTATTTATTATTCTGTTTATTGCAATGGTTGACAAAACATTGGATCAATTCTAATTTTATAAAATGATAAATAATAAGGATGCCTTATAATTGGTTCACATGTTTTAATAATTTAGTGAAGGTTTACAAATTTATTTATTTAATTTCATTAGTTTTAATTATTTTATCTTCTGTTTATGCGTTATTTGTTATAGTTACAAATATTTAATTAAATGCTCTGTTTATAATAAACAGCATTAACAACATTTACTGGCCTGAATATCCGAGAAATTTTTATAGGAAATATGTGTTCTCTGACAGGAATCGAACCTGTATCCTACACAGAACCATCATATAGTCTGACGTGCTATACCAGTGTTATAGTCCAGTTTAGGACAAAGGAAGAACAACACGGACACAAGAGTAGAAATAACGAAGGTATATTACACGAAATAATAATACAAGATGTAGAAGGTGTTAGTATGGCTGTCAGTCTGGTTTGAAGTGAACTACTATTGGCTCGACTCGATTCGGTATTTACTTGCCCCACCTCCCACGAGGGAAAGATGTGGCACAAGGCCGAGTTTTACGTGGGTTTTCCGAGCCCGTAGACTTAGGCCCAAAAAATGCCCGTAGAACCCGTATAAACGGGATCGGTTTGGTTAACCTCCCCGAACGAGACTCTGCCCTTCGGCGAAGCCTCGTCCGGTTTCCTCTCTGCTCAGAGGCAGAGTGTTCGACCGTCAAGCCGAGAAGCTCGGCTCGATTCGACCCTCTCTCTTGAGAGGTGTAGTATACATAGTCTTAGAAAGAGTTCATTCTATAGTTATAGGTAAGGACCCATGACAACATGTTTAGCTACAAAGGAGTATCTGGTGAGCAAGGTCGATTTTACTGCTTTTAAACAACAATTTTCCATGATTTCCTTCGAACATCCATGTCTGCTCAAAGCGTATCTAAACATAGAAATATGACGTCACACACTATGACGTGGACAAAGTCTGATAATTATTTTGAGTTATCTTCTGTTTATACGTTAACATATAAATAGAATTTACATTATTCGGACTATTGTCCTCATCTTTGTCGCCATATTTATTACAACGTTTCGCCCTTTCAGTATCTGTCTATATTTCTGAGATGAGGTATTATGTACATTATTTACATTATTCGGACTATTGCCCTCATCTTTGTCGCCATATTTATTACAACGTTTCGGCCATTGTACGCTCCAGCCTTCTTCAGGTGGTCCTCAAGGACATATGGCACAGTGGATAAAGGCGTTGGTTAGATCCAGTGACAGGACCCAAAGAGTGTGAGTTCAATTCCCGGTTAAGGTAGTGGAGAACTTTCAGAGGAAAAATTAACAGGAGATAAAACAAAGATAAATTTTACAGCTTGGGATCCATAAACGTGGAACTAGGAACATTCTACCCCAGTGACCAACCCATATTTATATGGTCGGTAATAAATTAGGGTTCAGTTCGATATTCCAACTACCTCTAAGTGAAAATAAAGGGTTCAGTTCGAGAGCGTACAACGGCCGAAACGTTGTAATAAATATAGCGACAAAGATGAGGACAATAGCCCGAATAATGTAAATAATGTACTTAATACCTCATCTCAGAAATATAGACAGATACTGAAGATAACTCAAATAATTATCAGAATTTGTCCATTTCGCAGTGTGATTAGTTTTAATACAATTGTATTAGATTTAGAATGTTGTAAATATAAAATTATTCTTGTAAATAAAGAATCTAATAAATAGTGTTTAATAGTTTTGTCGTAGATTCTCAAGAACAAAACATATATATATAAATTTATTCTTCATTTTTATCATATATTTAGGTTCTATGCTAGAGCATAGTTAGTTGAAACCTTGTTTCAACTAAGTATACACTAGCCTTCATCAGGTGTCCTTTGGGTATATGTTGTTATTTTTCCCTGTGATGTTAGTGTTTATTCCTGCTGAGCCAGTGTTTCACAGCCTGATCTGGGGATTGATCTCACAACCACTGAATGCCAGTAACACACATCTAAGCAACTCCTATATACACTATGCTACCATCCTGACGGACATTCACTTGTGTATTTTGGGAACCTTTTATATTCAATGTTAGATAGTTTCAACTTTTGGCTATCATAGTGGGGTTTTACCATCTTTGAACGCAAGTATATGTTCCACCCGTCCCCTAAACAAAACAAAAAAAAAAGAATCTTATCCATTAATACTTGTGCACCGTTTATCAGTAAAATATATTTGGAATATATCTGTTTGATCACACTTGGAAAAGGAACAAATAGTAAACGTTTATAAATCTAACATATTTCCCTTTTATTAAAGCTACATCAGGAAATAAAATATGGAGAAGAAAAATAAAATTCTCGTTGTTTTAAAATTTATGCTTGTTTTTTATTGGTTAAGCCAACCTAAACGCTGCTTGTCAATCAGCGTTCATGTGTATAATTCACGTGTGTATGTGTATCATAATTAAATTTTGTCTATGCAGGATTCAGACAATAATGTATATTCATTTGTTGTGTATATATCTAGGCGGCATTTTTATACTTCTTTGCTGGGTCACCACATGTTGATTGGGGGATGCTTTGTGCAAGTGTGAAAGAATTTGTTGCACTAGTTGTGGTTGTAGGTAGTCGGATCTTAGATTCTGTGAGAATGGATTTTATAAAAGTTAGTGATATAATAAAGTGTGTCTGACTTGTATTTATAGATGGCAAAATATTTATCAGAACTCCTTTAAAGTATTTCCTGCTTAAAGAATTTTTTTTTTCTAATCAAGGTTGCATATAATATAGTTTATATATTTATAACTTCGGTTTTATAAATGCCACTCTGATTAGTGTAGAACATAATTCTTTACACAGGAAATTGCTTAAAGAGATTTCTGATAAATATTTTACCATCTATAAATACCCATCAAACACACATTATTATATCACCAACTTTTATAAAACTCATTTGTAAAGAATATATGTTTACCTACAACCACAATGGGTGCAACTTAAATTCTTTCACTCTCACACAAAACATCCTAAAATCAATATGTAGGCAACCACCAAACATAGATAGAAATACCAACTAGATGTACACACAAAGGAATAAACATTATGATCCGAATCCCACATAAACAAACTAGGATTATGATAGACATGAACGCTGCTTGACAAGACAAATGCATGTGAAGTCTGCTTAACTAATGAAAAATAAACAACAGGTCTCAACAATGCTAGATTAATGATTGTCATCTTTTTACAATATTTTTTTTTGTTTCAAAATCTTTGATACTTAATAGAATAAGGAACAAAGAAGACACGTTTATAAATGCCACTCTAATTGGAAAAGAACATAATTATTTATGCAGGAAATAATTTGAGGCTTTCTGATAAATAATTTGTTGTCAAACACACTCTATTACCAGTTTTTATAAAATCCATGCATAAAGAATCTAAGATATGTCTACCTACAACCACAACTTAAATTCTTTCACCCTCATAGAAAACGTCCCCAGATCAACATGCAGAAAAACACTATCATGGATAAAAAAAAAAGACACACACACACACACACTCACACACATTATCGTATGAATCCAGCATAGACAAATTATAATTATAATGCACATACTCACATGAATTATACACACAAACAGTACTTGACAAGACAGCTTCACATGAAGCCTGTTTAACCAATGAAAACCAAATAGAACTAAATAAAAAATAACAGAATGTCCTTTATAAATGCCCACTAGATACATACAGAAAGGAATATTCATTATCATCCAAATCCCACATAGACAAACCAGGATTATGATACACATACCCATGAATGCTGCTTGACAAGACAGATGCATGTGAAGCCTACTTAACCAATGAAAAATAAACAACACAGAAATTAAAAATAACATAATTTTCTTTTTCTCCTCCATATTTCATTCTCTGATGAAGCTTTAATAAAAGCAAAACATGTTAGATTTACTATTTTTTCTTTATCCTATCATTCTTTTAGATTCCAATCCATATTTGATCTCAATTCACATTTGGAAAAGTAGCAAACGTACTTTATGCTTTTTGCTTGTTTGTCCCTTTACTGATGACAATCCAGTTAGCCTAAGGGAATATTCTACAATGGTTCATCAAGAGTTTGGTGAACTTGCCATAAAACAAAATCCATCGTAATGATGGCAGAAGTGGTTTTAATTATGTTAAGTACAGGGCTAAAATTAAGTTCACTCGTAAGTAATTTCCATTTCAGGGAATGGTAAATGTTCAGCTAATCCAGTTTATCAACATGAAGCAAAAAAAAAAGAAAGAAAGAAATCATAAAACCTGTTTCTGCATTATCTTAGACATTCACATGCAAATTATCAAATTCATCACTCTTCACGATTTTTGATTAGGCCAGAGATATTGTCATCTCATCTGCACTGTCTAACAAAGTATTTTACCCTTCAGCAACCACCTCCATCAACAACACAGCGGTCTCATCACCGAAGCCGCCGCCATAACAACCACCATTATCATCATCAGCACCACTACGAAAATGTAAACATGTCCCCATACAGTCGGGATCGGCACCGAAGTTCTGATGATGAGAACGATCTTTCTCTCCTTGATACTGAAAGTTTCATGATGATGACAACTCCAACAGCCATCCAGAAGAGGCAAAACTTGCGAGCCGTAAGCGTTCGTGGTGTTGAATTAATAGTTGATTGCTTCAATTATCCAGTCTTTTGTCTGTGTCTGCTGATTTGACCTTGTTCATTGTTTGGTTTATGATGTCAGTGTCCTAATATTTATTATTAGGTTGGTGCAAAAAATAATGACGTAATAATGTCGTTTTTTGACGTATTTTTAACGTCAAAAAACAACATTATTACGTCATTATTTTTGCACCAACCTAATAATAATAATGTTATCCTTCCACAAACTATTCTAACAATGTCCTAATATTGATTAATAAACTATGTATAATGTTGTTCAGAACTATTTAAATAGTGGTCCACTCATAAAAAAAAATACGGAAAACTGGGATGGGGGATAATTTTTTGTAGATTAGCCTTCTTCTGATCTTCTTTAGGCTGCTACACTAAAAACACTGGTTCTGATTTGATCACCAAAGTTAAGCAGTGCCAACCCCAATCATTACTTAGGTGGGGGACCACTTGAGAACATGGTAAGTGACCTCCTACAATCTGAAATATATTTTGACTTTAAATAATCCATAATTAAAATTAATAATGAAATTTTTATTCGTTTGGCTGAAGAAAGAAAAATTAATTAAATTGGAACTTTAATTTCTTACAAGGTGGCCAACAAAAGTTGAAGAACATTCCAGATAAAACTTGTTTTCATAAAGATGGGTCATCCTCTAAAAAATTCCTGACTAATGAAAAAAAAGGAAAAAGAAATCCCAGCAAAAAAAAACAAAAAACAGTTTAAACCAACCAAAGAACTTTTCAAATCTATGAAAGTACAAGAAGCTAATAACAAACAGCAAATCGGAAATGCAAGAACAATTACATAATTTTCATCCTCCCAAGTTAAGGATTTTGGCCAAGTACTTAGACTACCATTTGCAGGCTGTCCTGCATAATCTAAAGGACCCTGGACAGACTTGTCAGATTATTGAGAACAACTCAACAGTGATACCACATTGATCAATTTGGGTGAGTCCAAGGCATTTGATAGTGTTGGCTATCGATTTCTGGAGATTCATGCAGCAGCCGGTGTTGGGGCTAGTTACAATTTTTTTGTTCACCTCCCAGGGTAGTGGTAGAGATGAATAGAATAAAATCGTAACGTTTCATATTGTCTCATTCCATTTGTCTAGAAAATCTAATTCAATCCTCTGTATAATTACACTACCTGGAGCTGCCATCTTGGGCAGGAATTTTATCTGAGCGTGCTTGTATCAAGCAGTACCAAAATTAATCAGCATAGAAATCAAAGTATATGAGATGGTAACTGTGGCGAAGATCAACCACAATAAGTTTTTTTTCGATTTTCAGTTGAGCATGTGGAAGGGAGTTTCCTTTATTCAGGGATTTTCACCGGACACACAGGCTGTGCAAGATACTTGGCTGTCTGATTTAATCCCAACCTCCAGTTGGAAATTAAGTGATTGGACGTACGGGAAAAAGGTTGAAGCTGCAGTCCAACTGCGGTCTTAAAGGAATCTATTCATAAAGGGAGGGCAGATGAGTTGTGCTTTTCGCATCGACGCCATTTTTCTTTATCAACTCTTCATGCTTTCACTTACATCTACTGACTACTATTTGCTTTAGTTTGAGTCTTGTTCACATTTTCCTGGAGAGTCATGGCTCGTAAGGTACATCATGAGATCCGTTATCTCCACCCAGGTCCAGATTAATTATCTTGTGTCCACCCCCACAAACCAAATCTGTGATACATAGTCTCTATTATATTTCAATTTTCATGGGGTAGTAGACTTATAAAGTACAAATTTTATTGTAACCTAATTATGTACAATAATAGATTATATTCAATATAGGTGAACACTTCAACTAGAAAAATTTAAAATAAATAAAGTGCATCTAAATACAAATTAGAGACATACCATGATAAATCATTCCACCTTAAATAAAGCAAGAATGTTTTGGGGTAATTTTTAACAGCAAATTGAGATTTTTCTTGTTAAAAAGTTGAATAATTTTAACACATTATGAATAAAAAATAGCAAATTTTATATAGTGCTTTTTTCTATCATGAGCAAAACAAACTCATGGATTTGAATGAAAAAAAGATGCCCAAATTTCCATCCTTTAATAGTCAGTTGTGTTTAGTTTAATTTGTAACATATAAAAAAAGGTATAAGAAAGCAAATGTTTATATGATAGCAAGGGTCACAATGCACTTCCCAGGTACCCCAATCAGGGGTACGGCAGTAGTACACACTAGCCCTGTCTCCACTCGTCAGAAGGTATAGCATACCTAGAGTTGAGATTTATCAACATATGCTTCATACCAGCTTCCTAGAATGAATATGTACATAAACTGATAAAAATAGTAAATTCTGCAAAATAGGCGCCGGTAAATCCTTTCCCTTTGTGGCATGTGCACTTGTGTGAAAGAGATGCCCACCATTAGCCTAGAAATTCGTTTTCCTACTATCGTAAATGTCGAAGTTTTTTTATGAGAAAAGACTGGCCTCTCTGTCACCCAGAAGACATTATACCAAGCGCTTGCTAGTTTATGATGGTTGTATGTATGAGCAGGAAATTCTGCCTTAGGTGCCCGGGGTAAAATGGCTGAATAATGTAACATGCAGCTCAGACCATAAAACAGGTTCATTCTCAGGATACAACTTTTTCCAGTCAAACACTTGTGGCTTAAAAAATAACCCTTCAGCCAGATCATCTCCCATGAATAAAGACCATGAGAATTTGTAGCAGTAAGCAGATTTTATTCTCAGGTTGTAACCTACTGCTATAGATGAGGGATGAGATGAAATGTAGATAAGGGCAGAGTTGAGCAGTCTAACTCTCAAAGGGATCTTCTCATAACTCTTCTTTTTTCATGGGTAGTGACCACTGTCTTATAGATAACTTTATTCTTTGTCTTGTTATCTTTGCCTAAAAAGTAATTTATCTTCATTCAGTGCTCTTCTTTGTCTGAGCTGCTTGCCATGTAAGTTGTGAAGTCCACTTCACTTAGCTGATGATCATCGGGAAAATACATATTGGAAACCATTTTTGTGACATGTCAACTGTTTTCCAATTAACAAGGTATCAACTGACACTGATATCACTACAATAATGTTGAGGAATGACTTACCTGGCTGGTCATATGAGGTATCCTGGTTTTGTAAGAAGCTTTGTGAAGCGGGACTGGCAATTTCGCTGGAATGTGTTTGCTGTGTTGAGTATCGTAAGCCCATTGTGCAGACTAATTGAAGGTTTCATAGTCCCCATGGGAAGTTTTTCATCCTTGAAGCTAGTTCTGTTTGCAGGAATATCGTGCTGCCATTTTACAAACATTGAGCACTAGGTGTTTTTCTGCTTGCTTGGCATTCTGAGAGTTGTGGTGTAGATGACATGACAGATGGAATTTCATGAGCCCGAGAAGTTTACCTTTTCCTAACTGATCCTTTTCAGAAGCATTTTCTTAAAATTAAGATCAGAAGAGAAAGAAAGCGGCTCTCCACATTGGAATTTGGTGAGAGTTCTACGCATGTCGAGTAAATAATGCTGACTTAAAGTAGCATTTGGATGTCAGTTAGGCATCTAGGATATTGTTTTCTAGGGTTTAGCAATGATAACTGGAATGCAGGGCCATCTAAACAGCATTGCGGGCCCCTGGGCAAACCAGTGTGCTGGGTCCTCTATGGCAACCACTCACAGGAATAAAAAGTAAATAGTCGATATTATTAAACATATATTTATTTTATTGACTCTTCAATAATACTGGTCCGTAAGACATTAAAAACATGCTGTGCAGTAGCAACTAATCAACATAATAAACATCTGAACAATACAAAGCCACCATTGCATTCACTTTCACACTAATACCTTTGGAAAATGCATAAATCTGTGTCTTCTTCCCCACGCCCCCATGCTATGGGTTAAATACCAAGGTAGATTATCCTAGACATGATTTATCATGACTTTCAGAGTTGTAGCTGTACTCACTATTCTTGGCCAATTACGTGTTGGTGAGGCTAATTAGACCATTGTTGGTGGTTTTGAATTCAGAATCCTCGTAGAACGGTTGCCAGTCTACGATATAGAGCCCAGTCAGCACTGCTATTTTCCCATAGCTATTGGAAGAGAAATAGACCTGGGTTCATATATTTACTAAGAGCATTTGAAGGTAGTTTTTTTTTTTTTTGGTGTTTTTAAGAATTTCACCCTAAGCACGGCGGGGGTGTTTCTGGTTTGCAGAGTGATACATGGAGTGAAGGTGAGAGAAAAAAAAAACTCTATATAGAGCGACTGAGGAAAGGATAAAAGATAAACGGGGTTCAAGAAAGGTGAAATTTGTAAAGATTGTTTTTACGAGGGAAGCAAGTAAACGGAAGGAAGTTCTACAGGCGGGAAGTTCTGACCATGTTTGCCGTAGTCTCTGAATATGGAATCCAGTGAAATCCGTAATGTCTTCAATATCAGAGGTTGGCAGTGAAGATTCAGAGAAAGTAGCGGCCGTTAAGTAATTCTTTAAGTCTTCAATATCAGGTTGGCAGTGAAGATATTTTTGGGAGAAAAAACAAAATGTCTGCTTTATACACGTCGGATTGAATATTTCGAGCTTTCTGATTGGTTAACCCTTCACTTGGTGGACTATAAAATGAGTCAGCTCATTTTGACTGGCTCACTAGTACATACATATCCAAAAAACTTTAACAGTAAGTGTGACAAAAAGATCTGATGGAGCAGAAGAGACGGTTATATTTAACTATTCCACCGGTAAAAGGTTTGGAGCCAGATACCAGTCTAGTAGCACGCTTAATTTTATGTTGGTGTGGCACCAGGGAAAAGGCTCGATAGAACAGTTGCCATGAAAATATTTGTAGAAAAGACAGAGAGAAACCATATTACGTTTGGGAGAAATTTACTGAAGTCGATATGCTAAGTCAGGATCGATTACATTGCAGATCCTTCTTTGGATTTTATCCAGAACCTCGAGATTAACATCTGTGCACCAGCCCAGATAGAGCAACAGTACTCAATAGATGGACGAGTGGTAGATTTGTAGATATGTAAGATGCCTCTGCCTAGAAAAAAAAACTGTCTCGTACGACACAGTAAGCCAAGTTTCCTTGCAGTTGATGCAGCTACTGATTCAAATGTAGTTGTACCACTTCATGTCATTCGAAAACTTGCGACCAAGAAAGCACACTGTCCTGGAGTCAACCATGCTAATGGCGGACAGAGAATTATCTCTGTAATGGCTAAATGAGAGAGGATTCCTTTTGGATGTATTATAATTTACAAGCCATTTTTACCCCCCCCCAGTTAACCTCTGATTGGAGTTCCTTTTCGAAAGCATCGGCCACGTTTACTTTGTCAGCGTCGCCGGGTTTAATATTGAGGCAGGAGTAAATGGTAACGTCAACTACATAAATGCCTACTTGGCAGCTGGTGACATGAGGAAGATCACTGACGAAGATCAGAAAAGGTGTAGGAGTCAGGATAGAGCCTTGGGGGACCCCCGCATTCATAAGAAAATATCTCGAAGCGTGCCTGTTCAGAACGACCCTCGTTTCACGAAGTGAATTTAAAGAACTCGACTGGAATTCGAACTCGACTCTTCGAACTCGACTTCCCCAATTCGTTCCGCTATCTAGTACGCCGAATAAAATTGCGGAGAAACAACATATTTAAATTCGATTTTGATAAATTATTTCTACTTTAATGAATCTATAAATAGTGTGATTTATTTGTAACCATTGGATAGAGCATGGAATACAGTACATTATTTGATACTCTAAGTACCGTAAAGTTTTTTTCTTTTGTATTTGCATTCATAGTGATAATGTTCCCTTTCTTTTGTGCATGGGAATTCTTGATACACGAAACTATGTTTACGTTGAAAGCGTACGTGTATAACTATCAATAGTAGAATGTGGGTCTACTAGACTGACAGTGATAAATCAGTTGAAGCAAACGCAACTGCATTTTTAAATAATGCTGATAATAGCAATGAAATAGGCAAACGTTTAAATAAGAGTTCTTTTTTAAGCATTTCACTCCATGCAAGACGGGAGTGCCACCAGCGCACAAGGGGTTACAGAGAGTGAGAGCAAGAGGAAAGAGGGTTGCTTGAGGAAAGGATTAAGGGAAAGACGGGTATCAAGATCAAGACATCAGAAGATGCCGATTTAAATTAAATTTGAATATTTGAAGATTATATCTATCAGGGCAGCAAGTAAGCGGAAGGGAGTTCCCCTGTCGGGAAGTGCGAGATAAGAGGCTGTTGGAGTAGAGGAGATGGATAAATTTAACCGTTTCGACAGCGAAAGGGTGAGACTGAGATGCCACTAACCTAGTATCACGCTTAAATTCAAGCAGTTGATGTACCAGTGAACGTAGTTTGTCATAGCAGTTACCATGAAAATATTTGTAGAAAAGACAAAGGGAAGCCACAGCACGTCTGTGAGAAAGTGACTGTAGACAAGATACCAAATAAAGACCTATCACATTGCATATCTTATATAATGGAATATGCATACACCTGTGTTCCCCCTCAATGGAATATGATTAGCTGGTGTCCGTCATAAATACCGAGGAACGTGTAGGTACGACAGAGTCAAGAGCCTTAGTCTGAGAGCTAAGTCTATAACGACGCCCATTGGACTACGCCATTGATCTACACTTCTTACCTGCGACTACGATGCGTACCAGTCGATTACTGCTACCGTATTCTACTTGGTTATAGTAGCCAAAACCACTTAGCTACTTCGTTCAAATATATCCCTTTCCGAGACATATCAATATATATATATATATATATATATATATATATATATATATATATATATAGGATATAATGGAATATGCATACATCTGTATTACCCCTCACTGGAGTGTGATTGGTTGATGTCCGTCATAAATACCGACGGACGTGTAGGTGAGTCAGAGCCTTAGTCTGAGAGCAAAGTCTATAACGACGCCCATTGGACTACGCCATTGATCTACACTTCTTACTTGCGACTACGACGCGTACCAGTCAATTACTGCTACAAGATTCTACTTGGTTATAGTAGCCAAAACCACTTAGCTACTTTGTTCAAATATATCTCTTTCCGGGACATATCAATAACCGTTACTGGGTTTTGTCGAGGACCTCAAGATGAACAGCGGGGGAAGAGAACATATATGGCAACAATATTTAATGCAAGGACGAATGGATCCTTTGTATATTTGAAGAATGGACTTGGGCAAAAAAAAAAAACAAAAACAAAAAAAGAACAAAACATAGAAACCACTAAGTATTAAATAAACTAAATCACTGTACTTCCGTATATATTCCTTTTTAGGAACGTTGATTCACGTTGTGAAACAGACTCCCGTGTAGATACCTTCCAAACGTGACAATCTTAACGTCTTCAATTCTCGGGTCAGCAGTTGTCCATCATTCCGATATATCATATCAATAATGATTTAATACTTCATCCTCATATGTGATTATCGTATAAGTTATTCGGTAACAGGTCTACCCTGAGTGGCTTGGTGGGTGAACTTTAGTAAATACATAACAAAAGTATTTTTATACATACTCGACACTTTGCAAACATTTGTATGAACATTCACGGAATGCTACCAATAAAATTCATTTCTTCTTCCTGTACCTAGAAAGAAAAATGACTGGATTCAATGAAATATTAGTTCTCTCTCTCTCTCTTTCTCTCTCTCGATATATATATATATATATATATATATATATATATATATATATATATATATGTGGGTATAAATGTATATTTAAACCATTAATTAGATATTAGCAAGTGTATATACCTGCGTTAATGCATATTCAAGCGAATAAATATCTACTTAATTTAAGTTGTAAACAAACAATGCTAAATGCTGTTAGACAGTGCTAAGAATTATATATATATATATATATATATATATATATATATATATATATATATATATATATATATATATATACTTACGATCAGTCTGTTCATATCTGTCTATCTATTTATCTATCTATATATCTTATCTATTTCATTATGTTCACTATCTATCTATCTATCTATCTATCTTTCTCATTCTGTTCACTATATATATATATATATATATATATATATATATATATATATATATCATTATCTTCACTATCTATCTATATATATATATATAAATATCAGACTGTTCATTATTTATGTACGTTTGTATGTATATATTTATTAATCTGTTTATCACAGTATGTTCACTATCTATCTATGTATCTTTCTCATTCTGTTCACTATCTATCTATCTATCTATATATATATATATATATATATATATATATATATATCATTATGTTCATTATCTATCTCTCTCTAACTCTCTCTCTCTCTATATATATATATATGTCATTCTGTTCACTATATATCTATCTATATATCTATCTCATTCTGTTCACACTCTATCTATCTATCTCATTCTGTTCGCTAGCTATCTATCTATTTATCTCATTCTGTTCACTATCTATCTATCTATCTCATTCTACTCACTATCTATCTATCTATCTCATTCTATTCACTATCTATCTATCTATCTATATATATATATATATATATATATATATATATATATATATATCATACTGTTCATTATTCATATACGTTTGTAGGTATATATTTATTAATCTATTTATCTCAGTATGTTCGTTATATATCTATCTATTGTTCTCCGATAATGATCAAACCTATGTCCACCTTTCTGCGTGGCTGAGTAGTCAAGCACGCTGTATCAAAATGAGGACGCAAATTCCTTTTCTTTACGAGGATTTCTGCGGCCTTCTTTTTCGTACAAACGTCCTTGGGATTGGCATGGCTTCATTTCTTTTCCGCACTTTCAAATATAGCATGGTAGACAGGGCTCTCTAGCTGTGTCTCGAAGCCAATCTAGTAGAAATACAGATCTGAAATCAGATTCGCGGGGGAGGCAACGAGAAGCCCGTTCAGGAAAGGACCTCAGCGTCGGATGATTAACAAGTTTAGCCTTGTTGACCATCAACAGGGAAATTCGATCTTCACTATGTTCCAGAGAAATTTCGAGATTAAATCATTATCATGTTGATTGAACTCACCAATACTTTGATTGGTGTAGTTCATAATCTTGTCAAATAGCTGAATACTTGATGCTTCGCTAGGGCTATCAAGGGTGTTTTTATCGTGACACCAACACTAAATGGATTGCCAACCAAGGCTTAGAGAGACTCCATTCACCCTCCTCTAAGAGCAGGTTTGAATTCAGAGTTGTCCTTCTCCTAGAAGGCCATCCAAGGCTATAGAACCCAGTCTGTCCTGCTATTTACCCATAGCTGGAGGGAGAAGAAAGAGGATTCACACCTTTCTCAAGGGTGGTAGCACGTAAGTGAATGTAATGGATTCGACTGGAATTCTAACTCGGCTCTCCGATTCCTCAATCCAAGCCGCTATCCATTACTCCACCGTGCCGCCTAAATTAATTAAATAACCCAACATATGTTGGCAGACAGTGAAAGCAAACATGAAATGGATAATAAAAGAAAGGTATTCATGGAAATACGCTATCGTTTATAGCCGTATAGTACATAGTATTTAAAATATATTTTCAGAAGTTAGTTATTTGGTTTGCAACAGTTACCTTCCTGATTTCGACGAAGTTCAAGCAAAAGTATGTGGTACCCAGCGACGATGGAACCCGGTACAGTGTAAACTTCATGACCTGCTTGCTTTCCAGGCGATTAGTATAAGGTATCCAATAACATTAAAGTTTTATCCGACCTGAATTTAAAAAGAAAAACAAAACAAAAAAAAAACACTAAAATACAATGTTACTGACTTCAATAACAAATTTGAGTTTTACGTTTTTGCTTTACTTAAATATTCAATAATTTTCAAGAACGGACACATTTCTCTCAATCCTTATCTGTGCCAATATCTAGGTATCGCCTATCTTTATTCTTTGCTTAATAATAAATCAATCTAACCACTGAAAAAAATTATCTTCTATGTTCAATATGTACCCAACTCGCAAAAAAAAAAAATCACTATTTTAAAGTATTAATAATCCCCTGGAAAAAGAAAGGAATAATAATAATAATAATAATAATAATAATAATAATAATAATAATAATAATAATAAAAAAAAATACAGTGGTATAAACGGATTAGCAAATCGTTCGCTCTGGAGGTAAAGAACAATGTTTAATAGAAGATAATATCTGAAATTCATTTATACGAAATAAAAGACAAAAAAATATCTCCTTGGTTTTCGAGTTCAGCTCGCGTTTGTTCTGTTATTGATCTACTTATTTATACAATTGTTCTTTCCTGTTTAGACTTTTCCTTTTCCCCTTACCTATACATTAGTTATTTTTTTATGATTTTCTATATTGTCCTTTTATTCGGAAACAACACGTCTTCAAAACAAATTTAGCTTCCCTTTTGCTCAAACATTAGGAGAAAATTAAAAAAAAAAAAACTCATAGAGAGAAACTAAAATAAAAATAGAATGCGAGTTCTCTCTGTTAGTCGTATATTTTCCTCTGAATACAAAAGAGCTATTTGTTTTAAGACACGCTTCCTTAACTTTTACTTTCACTTTCACTTTCACATTTTCTCTCTTTTTGAAATGTCAATTTCAGTTTTGCTTTTCTCTGATTATATATGTATTCTCTACCACGCTTTTTGTCTCAGTCTCTTTCTCTATTTCTGGTCTGTTCATGTAGTGAGGGCGTTATTACTTCCCTTATTTCATTCTTTCATCAGTTTCCTTTCGTTTCCCAACTTTTCGGTTGTCTTATTGATACTGTCGGCAATTTTCATCTTGGCTGAAAATAAAGACTTCGTTTAATTACCGAGCAAACGAAAATAACAACATTATGGCGGAACGCAATTCTCCAGAACCGTGATTGCGCGCCAAAAATCATACGATTATATTTTTGTTGGATTTTTATATTCCGTTGTTCATTTCTTCCCACTCCCAGCAACATCTTTGTCTCCACCATCGTAATCGAGTATCTCGTGTTCTTTCTTGTCTATTTTTAACTTCCTGAAATGCTTCGTTTACTTTCAATGTAAGCTTTTAGTGTCGTTCCTCGTCGTCTTCTTCTGACGCAATTTCCTGTTGTGCCTCCTTCATGTCTGTCTCAATTAGTTCATATCTATCTATCTATCTATCTATCTATCTATCTATCACATTCTCTTCATTAACGATCTTTCTATCTTATTTTTTCATTATCTCTCTATCTGAACCTGTTCGCATTTATATAGGTATCTACCCATTTTTCAATAAGGTCATATCTATCTATCTATCTGTCTATCTATCTATCTATCCATCTATCTATCTATATATCTATCTATCTATCACATTTTGATTATTTATTTATCTATCTATATATCACATTCAGTCTGTTCTTTTCTATCTCTGTCGCTTAATGTATTTTATACTAGCACGCCTGTTATCTATCTATCTATCTATATATATATATATATATATATATATATATATATATCTGACTGTTCCTTATCTATCTATTTATCTATATATCTATCTCAGTCTGTTCATTATCTCTCGATCTATCTATCTTTGTTAGATTCACCAATTGTCCAAATTGTGCAAACGCAGAACTAGCGACATGTTAGATTAAGCTTTGACCCATTGTATCTTAGCAACGACTAAAGATGTCTGGGATTCTCCTAGCATAACACTATTGGACTTTACTTTCACCACAAATATGCACAAGTACATGATGAAATTGATCTTAAACGAAAATAATATATTCATTATTAATTAATCATATGTAAGGATTTCCCAACTGATTCAAGATCATCTTTGCCCTCTCTTACCTTCTATGGTTTTCTCCTGGAGTAACAAATTTCCCCACACTTTTCACGTACAATAACATTTCCAAATCTTTTTTCACTGCTTTTTCGACTGTCATGGCTGAAACTCCTCTCTCACGTGTCAAACGTCTTGTGCATTCAGTTGGATCTTTTCTCATCGATCTCTTAATTTTAAGTTGAAAGGATGATGCCTCTTCCTTTTGTGACCGGTTGATCAAGTTTTCTCCCTACCGTTCCCTCTTTTTAAACTTATTCCCCTTTGTCTTGATGTTTCTTGAATGGACTTTGAATATGGAAACCAGAGTATGAATGGTGGTACCATTACTAAAGGCCTGAATAATCTTTTTCCTCGCACTATTGCTCAGTTGCGAAGACTGGGGCTGCCGCAAAAAGATTTTAAACTTTCTAGTTGAATACCTCAAAGGGTTTTTCAATGATTCTTACATGAAACGAAATATCTAAACATTTTATCTGAAAATCAGGAAAAAAGAAACTCATTTTTGTGAACATTTAGATATTAAACAATTATCCCATGATTCTACACGATTTAGACAATTTTGATGTTACGCCCGGTCCACTTGACAATCTGCTATAGTCTCTTTACTCAATCGCTCTTTCCATATCAATTGATTTGAGAAGTTACAGTCTTTACTTTCACCTGTTTAGACCTTCACATCGCTAGATCCTTTTTTTCCTGTCCTGATCAAGACTTCACAATCGTATAGGACAATAAATACGACCAGCGATTTGTAGAGCTTGAATTCGATGTGGAAGCTAATGTTACTATTCTGTTTAACCTTTCTGATTTTAACTTTAATACAGTGCCAGTGTATTTTGACTATTGGTAACCGTGGAAATTCCAGCGTGTTACTGTTTTTAATTGAAACTAATAGTTGCGAGGTCAACTAACTTCATAGAATAATAATATTTTTAAATGTGCGCATCAAACCATAATTTTAACACTTTCACTGCAACTCATTTGTCCAGTGCTGCCCCCATCCGGCCAGCCATTTTTTAAAGAAAATCCCAAATTTCAACCTACATACTTTATTACACAGAAAACTGGCACCAGTGTGTTTTACAGCATTCCATTTTCATGGATATACCTGGGAATGACTTAACAGATCAGTAATGGGTATACACATGATATCTTTTGAAGCAATGTCCTTTGCGATTTTACGATAGATGGCGCAACGGGGCACTCATAATAGCGGTATGCAAAAAATGTATGTTTCTGTACTTAGCATGCTGGAGCAAGATGAGAAAAACGAAGATTTCTGTAGTTAGCAGCGGAAGTGTTAATTAATCTCTTAATTTTAACAACCGGAGAATCATGGCACAATGCTGGATATTATCAGCATATATATATATATATATATATATATATATATATATATATATATATATATATATATGTGTGTGTGTGTGTGTGTGTGTGTGTGTGTGTGTGTGTGTGTGTATATATTAGTCTTACTTCCGAAAACAACTAAACATATGTATTGGTATATAGGTATTGTGTATTTATTTTAACATTTTGTCTTAATATCCTCATAAAACGAATGAATATATATATATATATATATATATATATATATATATATATATATATATATATATATAAGCTAAGTCTTACTCAACTAAACATATCAGGCGATATTTAATAGCTCTAGATTTCTTAATCAGAATTTTGTTCCCAACAGACAACTTAGAAACCAAAAGAGACAATATATATTGAAAGAGAGCGAGCCTCGTTTTCGAGAAACGATGTTTTTTTTTTTGTTTTTTTTTTTCTAATTTTGTGGTTCAGTTTTTGATACTGCGTTCCACTGATTGATAATTTAATAGCTGTTGTCGCATGGGTAATGATTTTTACAGCATCAGCCGTATTTTGTTCCATAATGTCTGGAAATTATGTCCGACCCGCAACATATATATAGTCTAAACTTCAAAGACAATATTAAATCGTATAATTCAATTTTTTTTATATTTGCTTCCACCACTAAAGTCTTACTCAACTAGCCATGGCATTTTTTTTATTTTTTCGAGAACATTATCAAATCCAGGATATTATTAGTATGCGTATAATAATAGTATATATATATATATATATATATATATATATATATATATATATATATATATATACGTTCGTATATAATCCAGGTGGATCCTAGTAATATCAGATATATGCTGATAATGTCGGTTTACGGTATACATTGAATACTTTGAGGAAATGGCATTAGAATCTATATCTCTAAAGCCAACTATATGGTTAAGTTACGTAGATGACACCTTCATACTCTGGCCACGCCAGGAAGATATTCAGGTTCTACTGGACCATGTGAACTCAATAAGACCTTCGATACAGTTCACAATGGAGAAAGAGATTGACAACACACTCCCATTACTGGATGTTCTAATATCTCGAACAGAGCATGGGTTTAAGATATCTGTATACAGTAAACCGACATTCACCGGACAGTAAATCAATTTCAACTCCCACCATCCATAGAGCGTAAAGAAAGAGATCGTCCGTTGCTTACAACACCGAGACAAATGTCATAAGTGGCGACCCAGAGACGTTAGATAAAGAATTGGTCAGTATAAGTAGTACTCTACAACGTAACAACTACCCTGGGTACATGAGAGCAGCCTCCAAAATCGGGGATAGGCGGGTACAAGAGGAGGAGGACAACAACACTCAGAAAACAGTCTGCCTGCCTTATGTTTAGAGGGTATCAGAGAAAATACAAAGGATCTGCGGTCCATTAACATCAGGACAACCTTCAAAAGCTTCACGACACTTCGCAGATATCTCTTCCGAGTAAAACCCCCCGTAGAGGAGAGCATGACTAAAGACTTTATGTACGGTATCCCATGCAGCTGAGGAAAGGAATATAAAGGAGAGACAGGCCGCCCCCTCAAGGTAAGGCTTCAAGAACACCAGAAAGCTGTAATACGAGGGGACGTAGAAAAATCAGGCGTGGCTGACGACATATGGAGAGAGAAGTGAGATCACCACCATCTGTTGGATCATTTTGAGAATATAGACAAGGAACACCATTGAAAAATTCGTAAACTTAAGTAATCAGCACATATGCTAGGCCACGAAAATCTCCTGAACCGACCAAGCATAGAAATAAATACAATAATGGAACCAGTAATAAGAAGTGCCAGAGAAAACCAATGATAACAACAAAAGTTGCAATATAAGCTCTGGTAAAAACATCGAATGATAACAGCAAAATTGCAATATGAGTACTGGTAAAAATGGAGGCTGAAGTAATTAGGTTTATAATAGCCAGAAATTCATACCCAGATGTCCTCAAAGATACATGGCACTGTGGATAAAGGCGTTGGTTAGATCCAGTGACAGGACCCAAAGAGTGTGAGTTCAATACCCGGTTAAGAGGGAAATTAGCAGGAGATAACTGATAACTGACATCCATCAAACATGGCACGTGGAACTAGAACAGTCTACCCCAGTGAGCGAAATAAAGGGTTCAGTTCGAAATTCCAACCACCTGAAGAAGGCCGCGATAAAGTCCGAATAATGTACATAATAGCTCATCTTTGAAATATATATATATATATATATATATATATATATATATATATATATAAGTACAAGTATAGGATTGGTATATACGGAATAAATTTCAATAACCAGAAAATACTATTCTTAAAAAGAGTACTCAATATAGTGTAGAGCAAATATTATTATTTATTCGAAAATTATAAATATGTTATAAAATCTCTAAAAAATAGCCTTCTCCTATCTTATCAAGTGATGGTATTGAATGTTGAATAAATGGTTTTAAAAATGTAGGGTTTTAAATGTAGAATAAAAGTTTTAATAAAGGGTTATCGATATATATATATATATATATATATATATATATATATATATATATATATATATATATATATGCACTTAGATCAAGCTACGTAAAACACCAACTATATATCCACAATGCAAATAAATTATTTACACTTACTTCTTTTGTTATGCAATATATATACAATAACATATACTAATATTTTTCATCTGTGATATCTACAAACATTACAGTATACATCTATAAATACCATATTCCGAGGAATATGCAAATATAATTTGATATTATATATATATATTATATATTATATATGTTATATTGATATTATATATGATATTAATTGCAAAGCGGAAGTGTCGTGCGAACTGATAAATAATTATGTAACGGACGATTTTCCTATTTGAATTTTCGGATGAATCTTAAGTTAGGAATTAAATAAGCACAGGTCGTGTTCTACGAAATAGAATGTCCGAAGAAATTCTCCCATGGCCTCTTTAAATATTTGAGTTTAACATCAAAATATTGCAATAAAAATCGTATATATGAATGTTAGTCGTTATTTTAAGAAGTGGGTACAAATGAAAAAAGAAAAATGAAACTGTCAACTTTTTTCCATTTCACTGAAACGGACATTAAACACTTCTGTCTTTCTTTGTTTCTTTCTTTCTTCCTTCCTTTCTTTCTTTCTTTCT